ATCAAATGGCACAGCCGCACGGGTATAACAACTACGCTTTTGATTTCCAAAAACATAAAGGGCTTGTTTGGCAATTAGCGGTTAGAGGTTAGCGGTTAACGAATAATGTTAGCGGGTTCTAAATAGCAGATTAAATTAGCGGATTTGACCGACGGATTAGTATGACGGGTTATGAAAAGATGTTTGTTAAATACTCGTAGCTGTTTGCTTTTAGCCGTTAATGGATAAAAAGACAAAAAGGATATTTGTACATTTTAACATTTGTTTCTTTGTTGTTTGGCTAATTAGGGGGTTTCGCTTCCAAAAAAAAAATACAGGTTTGGATGTAACTTTTTGTATATAAAATAACGGGCTTGTCTTTATTTAAACATATTCATCCAAACTCTTCGATGTTATTATTATTTTCATGTTATACCATGTATATTTGATTTGGTGTGTATCAGTGTATGCATCAATCATCAATGTATGCAATACTACTCCGTGTGATATATAAGGTGCAGGACCCACCACAATAAAAAATGAGATGCACTTCTATAATGTTGATGCTACTGGCTCACCATGTTTGACCGAAACGTGGATTAATAAAGTAAAAAATTGTGTGGTTGAGGCTTGTGCAGAGGAAAGATAATTGGGAAAGTACGGAAACGATACTTGTGGTTGAGCCCGTTTTTAGATAGGGTCATGTGTTTCATTCTTTATCAAAGTGGTTCATGTGTTTGAATTCCGATATCACAAATGGGTCACGGCATTAAAAACATCTGAAAAAGACAGTTAAAAGTAACCCCGGTTTTCAAAAGTGGCCGAAAAATTAAAAGAAAAATGCCGGAAGGTGCGCCTCAATAAGACGACCGGTAGACCATCTTTCTTTTTTTTGTTTTCAGCCACCCTTATCACCGGAAAGTCCACCGGAAAAGTGATATTAGCGAAATCATTTTTCAAAAATAATTCAATCAGATCTGAAAAATCCAAAGGTGAAGGTGGTTTGGAGGTCATCTCGACGAGGCACACCTTTCGGTATTTTTTTTTTAATTTTTCGGGCACTTTTGAAAATCGAAGTTACTTTTAACGGTCTTTTTCAGACGTTTATAACGGCGTGACCCTCATGTAATAACGGAATTCAAACACATGGACCACTTTGATAAAGAATGAAACACATGACCCTATCTCAAAGCGGGTCCAACCACAAGTACCTTTTTCCGTACTTTTCCCAAGATAATTAACTGGAACCACATATTTTTTACTTAAAAGGGAAAGTGGCAAAGTTAGTGAGACATCCAAAAAAGGAAAGTTGGAAAAGTTTTAATGGACAGAGGGAGTAATATATTATTCAGAATCGTTGAGTTCAAACGCTGCTCCTTGCAGCATGTTAGCATTGGCATTTTGGAGCAAAAACGGTAATCCATTCCGGTCTTTACCAAACGATCATATTCGGCATTTTGATCAAAGTCAAACCTCCAATGGTAGTTGAAACGCCGAAATTTGGCTGATCTTCTATTATCCAAACACAGCCAAAACGTTTCACTTTTTCCAAATACATGACCTGGCTCCTTTATACGAAGTATTTCGGTTGTCTAAGGCGAGTGAACCGAGACCCCTTTATTACGTTTGTGCTGGATCAAAGGACCACACGAACAAACAGAGAAGTCCTCCCAGCCGTTGCCATAGCCTCCCACGAATCTCGTAGCCGCCATCGCTTCCGATGAATCTCTCGGCCGCCATCGCTCTCTGCTGCCATCGCTCTCCGAGATGGATCCTCACTTAGTCCGCTTATTTCCGTATGGTTGGAGGAGTGCTGCCATCTCCACTCCATGGCTGGAGGAGTGCTGCCATCGCTGCTTCAAGGGTCCGCCGTCTCCGCCCCATGGGTCCGCCGTCCCCGCTTCAGCCCTCGTCAGTCTCTGTCTCCGCTTCAGATCTCGACGGTCTGCATCGCCGCCACACCAGTCATCGACCTCCTGTGGTTTAGATCTGGTTCAGATTCGGCGACGATTTGTGTGGATGGCCGGCGAAGAGGGTCCAAACCGGGCGGGTAGAGTTATTGGGAGTGGCTAGGGTCGGCTGGTGGTGGTGGGGGTGGGCTGTTGTGGGCTGGTGGGGTAGGGGTGATATGTTGTACATTGGTGGGGCAGTGGAGGGGGGCTGGGGTCGGGAGTGGGACCCGGGAAATGGTGTGTATGGCAGGGGGCAAGGGGCAGGTCAAGGAAAGTGGTGGTGGGACAAGGCCTAGGTGCGGTGGTCACCGGAGGGGAGGGTGGTGGTAACTTACAGACTGGCGGTGGCCGGAATAATTTTGTGTCACAGTGGGCGTCGAAGGCAGTTGCCGGTGGGTATTCACTTTGGCCGGTGGAGTCACTGTGACCGAAGTCACTTTAACGGGAGTCACTGTGACCGGTGGAGTCACTTTGGTCGGAGTCACTTTGGCCGGAGTCACTGACATAGTGAGTGGCGGTGGCGGTGCCGCTAGTGGCGGCAATGGTGCTGGGGTCGGTGGCCAGAGTGGTGGTGGCTGCCATAGAAATTTGAAAACATTAAATGTATAATTAAATACAAGGAATGAATGAGTTTTAGTCACTTTTCAAGAAAAATTTAAAACATGTCACATTTTTATCCTTTTCATTAAATTTAGTAATATTGGAATAAAAAGGTCAAGATGATACACAAGTTAACATGGAAAATACATGAGTTTTAAATAATATTAATGGTATATATCTTCAAAATTTTATGCTAAGTATATGATAAAGTAGATTCTATGGTACCCTTGGCGCATCTCTAATGCTACAATGTGCACGGTGCGCATGTGGTATGAGAGATAGCCACATAAATATTAGTAAATAAATTATCTCTGTCTTTGTTTGAATGATTTTATACAATTTTGGTAAGTTTTTCTCCACAATGTCAAGAAGACCGTCTACATGTAGACATTGTAATTGACATTGCAGAGAAAAACTTACCAAACTTGTATAAAATCATTTAAATAAGGCTAAAGATAATTTATTTGTTACTATTTATGTGGCTATCTCTCATGTCATATGTGCATCGTGCACATTGCAGCATTTGAGATACTCTTAAGGTACCATACCTTTGTCCACATGAACGAATAAGAATGATGCAGTTGAATTATTTAAATCTAAATTTAAAAAAATATATTGATTTGGACCAATCAAATGCATGGTAGGTACGGTACCCCCATTTTTTAAATGAGTACCGGAGTTGTCACCGTATGATAATAGATCTAGGGTTGGTTTGCAACTGCTTCTAAAAAAGCACTTCTCAGCTTTTGGTTTTAAAAAAGCACTTATTTTCCCAAACACTACAACTTTTATTTTTCTCGGCTTCCGCGTCAAAAGTGCTTTTACTTTTTCTGTTACACAAAAAGCACTTATTTACCAATCACTACCCACTTTTACTTTTCAAAATCACTTTTTTCTCAAACACTATCAACTTTTATTTAATCACTTCTCTTCATTTCATTAAAAAATACTTTTTTAAAAGCAGAAACTATTGCAAACAGACCCTTAATAATGAACATTTGCACATTATAGATACTTCTATGGAAAGTCGTGAATAACTGAAAAGGGAGAGAGAAGGTAATAACGGACTATAGTCACAGAAACAGAATATTGAAACAAAAAGATCAATAACAATGAAGTTGTTGCGAATTTGTTTTAGGGTCGTCAATGAATCAAATAATTTGTGCTCGATTCATGATTCGAATTCGTATAAGACAATTTGAATTCGAAAAATTCAAATACAAATACAATTAAGAATATTAAATTCGATTCAAGTAGTTATCAAGTACAAATAAGAATATTCGTGTATTCGATTCGAATATTAATCAAATATATTCGATTAATAATAGTGGTGATATTAATAATAATATCAATAATAATAGTAATATCAATATAATACCTTTTGAAAGATAGCAATACCCTCAAAGTGTAACCCATAATATATCAGTAGTATACATTTATGCATAAAGATTCCAAGCTCATTTGTGATAAATCAGACTATAAATACGAATACAAACCAAATTTTTGGTTCAAATGTTTTTCAAATACAATAGAAATAATTATGTATTCGATTTGAAGAGTAAAATTAGAGTCGTTTGACTTTGATATATACAATTATCAACTTATTTTACACATTATAAGTATAATTTCTAATATGTGTGTTAGTGCTTATTTCAAAAAGTTTGAAATACATTTATGTTTATTAAATTAATCATAAAATTGATTCACTTTAGTATATTGTGCACAATCAAAAAATGCATTGATTCATTAAATTTGAATTCTGAAAACACATACTCCCTCCGTCCTTTAAAACTTTGCCAACTTTTCTTTTTTGGATGTCTCATTAACCTTGCCACTTTCTCTTTTAAGTAAAGAATTTATGGTTCCAATTAATTCTCCTTCCTTTTCACAAACCTCTACTACACAGTTTTTACTTTATTAATCCTCGTGCTGGTCAAACTTGACAAAGTTTTAAAGGACGGAGGTAATATTAAGTCATAGCATGTATTTACAACATAAACAATATGTAGTATAAGAAAAGTTATTTTAAAGTAATATTTGACTAATATTTAACCTATGCTCAAATCGATTCGATATTCATATATGATTCGTTAATTATTTGTATTGTTAAACAAATACAAATACACATCGAAATTAATATTCGTTTAATATTTGAATTCGAATTCGTAGTTGAAAAAATTAAACAAATACAAATACAAAATCCTATTATTCGACTCGATTGGGTTCGTTTACAACCCTAAATTTGGCTAGGCCCCTCCGTCCCTACGTGGAAGGGCATACCTACAGAAATATATGCAAAACAAGCTGAGAAGGGTGAATTTTTTAACAGTGTTTATCTATAAGAGGAAACAATAAAGAGGGAATGATCAATTAATTAAGTACATAAAGTTGAGGGCCATAGAGTAAGAGTACATCAAATTGAAACTCAACCTTAAAGGTGCTTGTACTCGCTTGTTTGGTGTTAAAGCAGTACATTTGTTACATTACACCGTTAATATTGGTGACTAGGCAAACGGAGTAATGAAATGCTTATTCGAACCGGGCTTTCCCGGTGAGACTTCGACCGGGCTATTCTTATTCGAACCGACGATGTTTGGGGCTTGGAGAAGAACATCGAAGAATTTGGCGATCGGGCCGGATACGGATTTGGGTGAGCGCGTTGGTGGGATGAGAAGTTTAGGTTTGGAAGCGAGTATGGATAACTGGAGATGGAGCTTCGGCAGATGATTGATAAACACATCGGGCCGGGTAGGATATCAAATGGATGTTTGGGGCTTGCGAGGTAAAAGGTTGTTCCAGGTTGCAAAGAAAACGCTGGGGCTTGCTGAGTCAGCCTCCACCGTCAATCAAGAAAACGGCCACGTTAGCATTTTGCAGTTGACCTTTCAATTTTGCTGTTGTGCATGTTTACTCTTTGAATTGGCTCCTTCAATTGTGCGAGTAAGTTTTTGTTTCTTCTTTCTGAATTCTGACTCTCATTATTTGTCATCGTGGATTAGAAGAAAATTTAGAAAATTAAAACAATGTCCTTTTGTTAAAATATAATTGAGTTCGCCATATTATAACTATTCATGATTAAAAATCATTATATAAATAATTAGGAAATTATAATTATGATTTCAAAGTGTTAATTGTGTAGTTCATAACCATTTCATAATCTTATTGAGCTCACACTTTCTCTTATTAATATGAGTCTTCTCCAATTGTAATTAACTCAACATTAGCACCTACTCTATCAAGAGTATATTTAATTAATATATTATCTCCTATATTCTTATTTTCTTCTATTGACTATTTCATAACACCTATCTTCCTTCGAAAGCAAATTGATCGACTTCTTGTTCAGTACGGAATATTTTATAGGAAAAATGGAAACTAATAATCCAACCTTTTAGCGGTCTTCTTTCAATAATCCCACTTTTTGATTATTCATGAATAATCCAACCCGGTTGATGACCTGCTATATATTCCAAGCCATTTTCTTATCTTTGCAAATCATTATACCATAAATCTTATCTTTCACAAAGATAATATTTTGGAAAGATAATAAAATAACTTGGAATAGTAGGTCATTAACCGACCAGAGACCAATGAATGAAGATGAGGTGCAAAGGTTGGACTATTCATGAATAATCAAAAGGTGGGATTATTGAAAGAATACCGCTAAAAGGTTGGATTATTAGTTTCAATTTTCCCTATTTTATATCGGTTTTCTTATTTCTTGTTGTTTTATGTTTTTCTGTACAATATTTTCGTTTCCTATTGCTTCTAAAACTAGTAAACTGCCAATTTTAAAACATGTTCACAACTAACATTTGGAGTACAATTCTCATAACATAATGAGTGAGTGCAATTTGTTTAGTAAACTTTTCTGACAAGTGTTTAATTTATCAGAAAACATGCACACGTAGGGCGTACGTAGGCCAATTTGAAAATTCTTATTTCCAACTTGTAAATTATGATTACAAATGGATTTGAAAGTATCTTCACCAAGCTACCGTTTTTTTGGAAAACACGATTTTATTCATTAAATAAAGTTAAAAGATTATAGTGCAATACTTCGTATAAAAGAAGAAAAGAAAGTAAAAAAGTACAGAAAAGAGAGGAAAAATACACAAAGACAAAATCTAGACCCAAGAGAAATCTCTAGACTGTGATCTAGTCCACACACTATGTCGTCTTTTATTCTTCTGAGATTTCCTGTAGATTTTGAGTTGCGTGTTCAGATTTTATGTAGGCAAGTATTTTTCAGAGGTGACCTACTCTGATTTACGGCAAATCGATCTATTGAATTTGGAGTTCTTAATTTCTTCCTAATTTGATAAAGGGGGACGTTGATCACTTGCAGTTGCGTGTCCTAGAAAGTCGTTTGAAAAGAAAGAGTCGTCAGAATGATCAAAACTATCTGAGGCATCAGAGTACACCTGGAGAAGTGGGGTTTGTGTTTGTTTCTCTAATGAGGGGACTTGTTTCGTTTTGCCAAAAGCTCTATGAATTTAATAGTTAAAAATGAGTTTGGAAATGGTAATTTCCTCATAGTAGCCAGAATTTTCATGCTCCCAATGCATGACTTCCTTCTGCACAAAATCAGTTAATCCCATAAAATTTGAGAAATTTGAAAGAGTAGCCAAAAAACCAAGCACCCTTGATTTGTGTGGACCCATGGTAATGTTTATGTAGCTTCCCCCATCTTTATCAATTTTTAGATAATAGCCTGATCTGTTCTTTAAATTTTCTTAATTGGATCGTTACTTGTGAGTTGCGAGATGAACCGAAAGATTTGAGGGGCTAGATCCTTATAGAAATTGATCTTTTGCAGTAGGGATTTATTAAATTCAAAATATTTGAAAAATTGCTTAATTGCCTATATCTCACCATATATCACCAAGCTACCTTATATAGTGAAGTTTATCCAATTCATTAATTGCCTTGGTCGTATTAATTTCCTCAAAATTACCTAGCTATTAGACCGACTTCCACCAAATGAGAAGTAATTTTGCAAGCAATATTGCTTCACATGGAGGAAATTGTTGATTGGATGAACTTGACAATGTATAGACAACGTTCAACAAGATTTCTATAAACTATTGTAGAACTTTGCCTAAATATAGGCAAGTTTAGTAATATTGTCTAAAATATTGTGAATAAAAGCCCAAGGAAATTTGCATTGCTTTAAATTTTGTATGAGAAACTTTCTCTTTTTTATTGTTTTTTAAATAGCATGTAAAATCAAGGTGACACTAAAACCATCAAAATGGTGTAGATTTAGAAAGATAGCCAGTTCCACATTTTGGCCTAATGAAAGATCAAGCTGCGAGGTATATGTTTTTGGAAAATAAGTTGTGAACGTGACAATATTCCAAAACTTTCTCCCATTTTTCTCAATTTACATTACCTCTAATAGTCTTAAAGTCTTGCACCGATAAAATATGATATAAGATAGTGTTACATCAAGATTCTTGGCTATGAGATTCATTTTCGGTTGAGTTTTTTAAATTGAACTTAGGATGTTCGCATAATATTAAAGTCAAATCAATCGAGAACAATACTGTGAACCCTCTATAAAACATGACCACATGATTATGAAAAATAAAATTAAAGAGCCAACAAAAAAGTGACAATGATACTTCTTACAATCCAAATTAAACGAATAACCTAATTGTAAGCAAGGGTGTTGAAATCACAAACAAATAATCTATTAAATAATAAAAAGTTATACTTTAATTAAATTTCAAATTACTGTTCTAATTTTTAGAATGAAACTCAAATGTTGAAACGATGCCACCTAACCTAAATTTTACCCACGGGTTTCAAATTGATTCTATTTTTGCTCCTTTTAAAAGAAAAGGCAGATTTATATCAATTTCTCAAAACCAGGTATCCCCAATTCAGTGGCGGATTTGGGGGCAGTTAGCCAAAGCAACTGCCTTGGGCCTCACATGGCAAGAGGGTCCCAAAATAAAAAATACCTGTTAGTTTTAGTGATATATGTAAAATAAAATTGACTAATTATGTACACTCCACGTGATCTGCTAGGTGTTGCGTTTCCAAAATCCGAAAGTCATCATTCGCTAAGGCCGCAAATCGCAATCGCAATCCAAACTGAAGCAGGCTGAAGTAGCAACGAACCGGCGCTGTCGCACTGAGTCCGTGAGTCGCCCATCATCCAAACTCTGAACGCCTCTTCGCTGATCTATGAGTCACTTTTCTAAAGTCTAAACCGTAGTCTGTAATTGATGTAAAATGTACAGATTAAATATAAGGGCCTAAAGCAGTATAGCTATAAAGTGGCGGACACGGGGCACTCAATGACTTGTTTGTAGTGATGTTATTATTGATTTTGCACTTCAAGCAAGACGAATTGGCCAATAGAACAAGTTTGCAATGTATTTTACATTTATTTGCATTTGAAAATTTATCCTTTCGAATAAATTCATATCATGAATTTATTCAATTTATCTCATTTTAAATATGATTTGTGTAAAGTGAACACCTTTCTCCCTAGGGCCTCCAAAACGCACAAGACGCATCTGCCCCAATTTTTAATTTTTAAAAACTGCTTATAGTAATTTGGAGAACAAAAAATACTACAGTACTTTAATACACAGTCCAATTTCTTGAGAACAAGAAAAAAATAGTTTTAAAAATTAGATGAATTCTGAGTTTTTTTCCTAAGTAAGGATAAAAAAAGAAATATATACAAAAATAGTGTTGGATTAATAATATTTACGAAGATACTGCTATTCTAAACTATAGTTAGGAGGATCCATTCCTACGCTGCTACGCATGAGAGGGGGAACGAAGCATCAGAAATGGTTAAGTGGGGCCCAAGTAAAAAAAACTCTTTTTACTTTAAACTGCTATAATTTTTATTTCATAAAAAATATACTACCTCCGTCCCATTGGAATGTTCCCACTTTCCTTTTTTGGATGTCCCAATGGAAAGTTCTCATTTCACTAAATGGAAAGTTATCCTACATCAAAACAGTGTCAAACAGTGCAAAACAGTGTCAAACAGTGTCCAAACAGTACAATTTGTGTAGGTCAAACCGGAAACATTCCTTAATATGTGTGTAGGTCAAACCGGAAACATTCCAACGGGACGGAGGGAGTATTAATTTTCATAACTTTTTACGATCTTTCATATGACACCAATGATATATACATTAAATTTAAAAAAAATCTGAAGTTCTTATGGAATGAAAAGGGAAGTTGCAGTAATGACCTATGAACAAATCTAATTCTAGATCAATATTTTTTTACAAAAATTTGAAGGTTCGATCAGTAAAGTTTTTCAGACTCTACAGTTTTCATAAATAAATTAAAGTGCTAAAATTTATATTTGACAATTATTTTTACATTTTCCCGATAAGTTTTTCATGTGAAGAAACAAAAAAAATATGAAATGTTATTCTTTTAAAGATATTTACGTCTTTGATATAAACTACGGAGTAGTTTAGAATCAGGTTTATTGATTTATGATTACAAATACCTTAAAGATGAAAAAAGAAATGGAAAATGTTAATTTCAGTCAACCTTCGGCTTATCAGTCAACCTTTTTATCAAACACAAAACAAGGTTGAAATTACTTTTGTGTCTATATGGACTGAAATTACATATATTTTCACCAGAATTACTCAAAACAGCCGATAGAAGGCTCTCGAGAGGCAGAGAGGATGGATAAAGAATGCAGATTGTAGAACGCACAAGAAAGAACCATCTCTTTCCAGAAATTTCGACACGTTATACTCTTCGCCCACCTCTTCCTTTTTAGCAATGATAGATATACATGACACTTCCTTAATTTGGAGCATGGCCGAACTTGAAACCTGGTAATTTACTAATTATATACTCAAGTGATCCACTCAAGCTTAAAGCATATCCTCTTGTTTCATTAGTCCGTAGTGTACGACACCACTATGCAAGCTAGGTTGTCCACCGCCGCTGCCGCCATGGCGAAGCTAAATCGTCCCATGTTTTTCATGATTCCTAAAAATCAGTACTTCCTGCCGCAAAGATTCGTTTCTGCCTCAGTTGGAAGAACAGCTGATCCTAATGTTCACGCCGGTGATCTTGATGTAAGTTTAACAGAACTGTGAATATTGGTTATTGAAGAATACGTTTGGGGATTTTATCAAACACATGGTGTGCGTGAGATTAAATGTTGTCATTTCATATTTCTGGTCTCTGTTCTCAGGGCGATAATGCAGCAGAGGTCAAAAAAGCGGAAACAGCGAAGGGGGAATCTGAAATTAAACCCCCTGGCATCGGGAAATCGCCGTTCTCTTCTTCCAAATCCCCTTGCGGATCCACGCCGAAGATAGGAAGCACAGGCGTGAGCGATCCGGTTGAGCCTAACCTGCAACAGAAGCGCCGCAATTCCGATGCCGCAAAAGCAGAGCCGCTTATAGCCGACGTTAGTTGCACGGGGCTTGACGGCGGCCCGTGGCCGGATGAGGCGACGGATAGGCGCCATCAAGAAGAAGACGACAAGGAATTCTTCAAGCACCACAAGGCGTCGCCGCTGTCTGAGATAAAACTTGCTGACACGAGGAAACCGGTTTCACGAGCCACCGATTCTGGCGGTGGGGGAGCTGCGGATGGGGTGGTGACGTGGCGACCGGAGCAGCTGGATACGGCGGAAGGTTCGCTGCTACGAGCCATGGAGGTGTGGAAATGGAATGCAATGAGAGGTGACCCGGATTCCCCTCACGGGAAGGTTCTTCGTGAGCTTAAAGGGGAAAATTGGTGATCGGGTCTCATGCCCAAAACGTGCCGGGCGTCATAATTAAAATCGAAGTTATTGTACATTCTTTCCTTGCTAATGACTCTTATCTACCTCCAATGGGTTGAAAATGACTATCAAATGTTGTTTAAAACTAGATTCTCACTTATATTAAAATGTAATAACAATATGACATTATTTGTAAATATTACTTTGTCGTGTGAGATTAATGCAAATTGTTATAACCGTAACATGCATATATAATAAATCTATATATATATAAAAGCACAATCGTGCAACATGCTGAACAATCCTGACCATAGATGTATAACACGTGTGTTTTATCTGTAAAATAATTGACGGACCAGTTACTAAATACGTGGTGCAAGTATAGACAGTTTCCACTCGGCCACTCCTATGCTAATTGCCGAATAGCTAGCGGTGGTTTCCTGATCGACCAATCCAAACCAACCAGCTACACATTAAGTAACCACCTGGCCGACACTTTAGATTGAATATTATATATATATATATATGACAACACAAGTAGGTAGTATCATGGCGGTCGAGTGCTGAGAGTGCATATGAATTAGATCAAGTTGAACGGTTGAAGTAAACTCACTATCCTAATTCATATGCACTTACCCTGCGACTGAGATCAACTGCCTAAGGATCAGAGTGCATTTTTGCATCGGTGTTGTGTTTACTGAATTTTATTTATATAAGAAGTAATTGGATCCAAGCTTACTCAAAATACTTCAGGTATTTTTATAAATTAAACGTACGTAATTTATTTACTCTTTAAGTTTAAGCCACATGCTAAATTATAGGTACGAGTAATTGATTCATATATATACTTTTGTGTAAATAATGATATGGGTATAGACGCATAGTCTATGATGTACTACATTTAATTTATT